TAATATTATATTATGTTATATTATTTTTATAGGATATAGATGGGATGTTTTCATTAATAATATGATAGTTATAATAAAAATTAGGATTTTATGATTTTAAATATATAATATTATAATTATAATGAGATATTATATTTTATAATATTATAGTTAAGTATTTATATAACTACAATATAAATTTATATTATAATAGATAATATACTATAATTAGAAATGATAATATAATGTATTATGTTATAATTATATAACTATAATTATAATTATATATATTATATCCTTATAATTTTATATATATAATATTAGTTATTAAATGATTATATTAATATACATGATATTAGTTATATTAATATGAGGGGTAATTTTGTCAACATGAAAATATTAATATCTCATTCTATTGTATTTGTAAAAGTAGAACTAAACAAATAAATCATTTTCTTTTCCATTTTATTCTATTACTATTCTTATTATCATTCTTCCACTGCAACCAAACCAATCGCACCCTAAGATGCCAAGTGATTAAGAATTAAAAGTAGAACAATTATACCAGTTGAAGGCGATGAGTACTTTAAAAGATCTAAAAGATGCCAAGTAATAACCAACTGGTCAACTACCCATGCACGTTTTTGGAAGCACTGTTCATGTTTTTTTTTTTTTTTTTTCCTTCCTTAATTTTGCTTTCATTCATACCTCATTTTCGCATTCTAAGGGGTTTGTAATTTTTTTTTGTTTGCATTGTGAATTACTTTCGCCCAAGATCTTTGTATTTAAGCTCATCAGCGCTCATTCATTTTATTATCATGAGAAGTTGATCTTCAAAAACTATGTTCTTCCACTTTCTCTTTTCTCTCAAATCATAATCGATAAGCAAATTAGTCATCAAGACGCTTTGTCATTTGAGGAAAGAAAAATGATTATTGAGACTGTTATTGAAACTAAGCTGCAAGCTAATTACAGAATAATCCTTTCTCTTAATATTATCAATCTGTATATTTCTTTTTGCAGAAGGAAAAAAGAAAAAGGAAGAAGACGAAAATTGGAAAAGTAAAATGGAATTGTATGCCTTTTGCGATTTATAGTATCCGTGTACACTAACATCTGGTTAGGTCGACTTAGGAGATCCTAACCATAAAAAAAAAAAAAAAAAAAAATTCCCTTTTTCCTTTTACAGCCAACAGAAATATCACGATTATGGAGAAATGGGAAGATCAAAATGTTGTATATACAAACAGTAAAGTAACTGTAAAGCCATCAACGAAGATTGACAGAAAATCTATAAACTTGGTCAGCAGATCACACTGCAAAGGTCATTCATCCTGGATTCTGAAACATTGGTGAAAGGAAACACCCTGAAGTTCCCATTACTCATACAAGTCAAAGTCAACTCCGCATTGCTCACCATAGCCTGCATGCATGCATCATGAAACGTCCAAATGTAAAAACTTACAAAGTTGTATTTCAATTTTATGTTTATTTACTTTCCCTATTTGGGATATAACCACTTTTAATAATAATATAACATGCATTATTACCTCACAAAAAGTTAATCTATCTTCGCAGCTCCACCCTTTCATGGGAACACAATCAATATATTGACACCATTTGCAGTACTTGTTCATGTCAATGCCCCGTAGAAAAGCTACTATACATCCAGCAGATCTGTGCACAAAAATTTAGCAGAAAGCTTTCTTGTAAGGTTTTATTTGTAAGCACCAAAACAAGCAGCAAAAAGTTAAACAAACTCAAGTTACTCACATTAGACAAAATAGAATAAGAGCTACACTCCTGAGGGCTGGCCAGTCCATCTTCCAGTCTAGTTTCTGCCTCAACTTGAGTTTCATAGAGCTTTTGGCACTATACTCAAAAAGGGCTCCTTTATTTTGCGGCACTTGTTTGATCTGAGGACTAAACAGAAGCACTGATCCTAGTAGGATTCCGGCTATAAATCCGCCAATGCTTGAGAAATTGTCTACATATGGAAGAAAACCAATAACTAGGTTGATTGTGAAGACGCAGAAAAATGACTCCAGAGCTGCAAACTGAGAGGAAAACAAAAAGTAAGCAAATCAGCATCATAGCTAAATGATAAAAAGCAGCTGAATGAGATTAAGAACCGGGGGGGGGAGATCAAAGACCTTGTCAGTGTACATTCTCCAATTCCAAATTAGCTGGGAAATCGCGGCTCCAATTAAGCCATATAAAGCTCCTGATGAACCAACTACTGGCCTGTTTTGAACAAACTGTGCAGCCACCAGAGTACCAGCAAAAGCTGAAAGTACATAGATTATTCCCACCCTTACTGTCCAATAAAAGTAGAAAGGGAGGAGTGAGACCAAACGTTGTCTAATTTCTTCATATCAAAATTTGTTCACGAACTTTGTTAAACAAAGACTATAAAGGGGAAAAGAGAACTAATTACATGGTCCAAACTCCCGTTCCAAGTGAATCCCTACAAAGACAACACTGCTGAGGTTGATGACGAGATGGATCAGTCCAGCGTGTAGACATGGAAATGCGAAAAGTCGCCAAGTTTGGTGATTTTCTGTCAAAAATTTCCGCCGAAGAGCTCCCATTTCATCTAGCCTGAAAATTTGCAGTAGAATTAATTTTACACATTGTACCAGAACCAAACATTTTCTACGAGGCTAAATTGCAAACAGGAGCAGCAACTGCATTACAGCAAAAATTGCAATTAGGAAATCCCGGCATAATCAAGGAAAGAATGCCTAGAAAAACACCAATTTGAAGTCAAATAGAGGGCATATAAAGCTTGTTTCCTCATCATAACTTTACATGTAAGAAGCGTTGTGATTTATCTTGATACACAGGCATATTAGTTGTAAAATTGAGAAACACGAATGTAAATTGAATATACTGCCACTACAACTGAACTAGGAAGAAGTAAGAAGCAAATTCTATGCCTAGTACGTTACATAATCGTTTGTGTTAATTCTAGAAAATGCACTAATACCAACAAATGAATGTACATTCAGATATTCAAAGCCGAGACAACAATATAATTAAAGCTCGTTCATTCAGATAATCAAGACAAAAGTAAGCTGATATTAAGAATTTATTCCCAAAAATTCTTTGGAATAAAAAGTCCCAAAAAAAGAAAAAAGAACCTTTTCTTGTCTCAGCAATATCTCAGAACCCAAAAACAGAGAAAACCCATTTCCAAGAAACCCAAGAAAAATCAAACAAATCGCTAAAGACTCATCAAACAAGCTGAAGCCCACTTGAAAAATGTCCAAGAAATCAAAAAGGAAGCGGGGACTTACGTGGAAGTGGAAGGACCGAGAAGGGGGTTCTCGGAGAAGGGCTGAAAGGAGAACCTGCCGAGGGCTCCGAGGGCGCAGTCTTGGTTGGAGTTGCGCCAACAGTCGTTGACGAACATGGTGGCGGCGAAGGCCACGACGTGGAGGATGACGAAGACGGAGACGACCCACGTGTCGCCTTTCCGAGGAGAACCGGATCCGAAGAAGGAGAAGAGCGTCTGGTCTGTCTCGGGAAGTGGTAAGTCGGAGAAGATCGGCGGTGGTACTGGCGGAGGCTTGATGTCGATGTGGGTCTCTGTCTCCGTCGACTCTGCCATTGGTTTTCTTTCTCGCAGAGAGAGAGAGAGAGAGAGAGAGATTACGTTGGTTTGACGATGGGGTAGAGAGAGAAAGAGTTGGCTTGGATCCTTATATGGTTTGGTTTCTGTACGGACTAGAGAGAGAAGGGGACGAGTGACGGTTAGGATTGGCGGGAAATGCTTCAACTGATTTGGACTATGGTTTGTTTGAGGGCCCAATGTGGTCTAAAGAACCCGTCCCTCCTCCAAAGACGACCCAACCCATTTTACTTTTGGGAGATATATAAAAAAAAAAAAAGGGAAAATGCACTAAATAACGTTTTTTTTTTTTTTACATGTTTTTAAAGTACATAGAAAATTTTTATAACTTGTAAATTATAGCATATATTATTGTCTTCTCTTTTTAAATATTTATTGTCTTTTCTAATTTTACCCTTTCTCATTTTTTCCTTTTTCCTTTTCTCTTATGCTTCTCTCTCATACGTTTGTTCATAACCATCTCTCTCTTCGATTCTCTCTCTCTCCTCCGTCCTCTCCCTCTCTCTCTCTCCTCTGTCCTTTCCCTATCTCTCACCTCCGTAGGTTCCTCTCCCTCTCTCTCACCTCCATTGGCTCCTCTCACCCTCTTTCTCTCTATTTCCTCTCTCCCTCTCTCTATTTCTCCATTTCTCCATGGCCGTTTTAGAATTACAGAAATTTAGGATCTGAATTGCGACGGCGCGATCGTGAGATCTCGTCACGGCCGGTATCGAGGCTAATGAATTCTAGACGGATCGGCAATGGACGACATTGTTGAAACCTTGACGAGATTTGAAAGAGATTGAGGTCATCAAGACATCACAGGCGAACCAGAACCACATGTGAACCAGATCCCATGGTGAAGGTTGTGACATCTGCATTAGAGCCAAAGGAGATTGACGAGCAACTTGTGGGCAATGGCGACCACAAATCGTCGGGATTGTCGTGCCGTGGTGGATTTCGGTTGCGATCCCCAGCCGCGATCTTCGTTCACAACTCCAATCTCTTTTTCGCCCTCCCTGCCCATTTCATTTTTTCTCTATCTGATTCGCGATCAGATTCTGACATCACAATCGTCTATTCTCCGGTGTGATCATCTTCTGGGGAGAAGATCCACTCGAACAAAGCCATATCCAAGCGATGATATTCCAAAGACATCGCGATCCTCGATTCCAGCACGATCTGATCGTCTTGAAGCCGGATCTTGTCATCGTCGCTCCTGTCACCCGACGATATGCGAATTCGTATTGATGCAAGCATCATCCATGGTGAGGCGCGGAACGTAGAGATCTGTGGATTCTCGAGAACGTGTAATGATTTTGATTTTGTGGATTTTTTGTAATTTTTATATTTTATGATATCTGAAACTTTTGTTGGATTTGTTTGTATTTTTCTGTTTTTTTTTTTTTTTTTTTTTTTTTTTTTTTTTTTGTATTTTTTGAATACGGTAAATATTATAATTACTAGTAAATATTAGATAAAATTTAATTTCTAAATAAATACTATATTTATCAGTAGATACTTCACTAAATTTGATATTTGCTGATAAATATGATATTTATTATTTATTGATAATACATTATTTACTAGTTGTCGGCGTTAACGGTTAGATTTTCAGATAAATACAGTATTTAGCGATTGTCGGAGTCAGTCGCTGAATTTTTAGGTAAATATGGTAAATATGGTATTTACCAGTGTCCGGAGCCGTCTGTTGGATTATCAAATAAATATGATAAATAAAGTATATGTAGTAGTAAATATGATATTTATAGGTAAATACGGTATTTATCAGTCTCCGGAGCCGGTCGTCAGATTTTTAGATAACTATGGTAAATATGATATTTACCTGTAAATACGGTATTTACCAGTTGCTAGAGCTTGTCGCTAAATTTTTAAATAAATATGATAAATAAGGTACTTACCAGTCGCCGAAGACGACAACCGCGACGGTTGCAAGAAAATGGTTGTCGGCTGCCGAAAAATAGTCACCGGTTGTCAAAGCTGGATATAATATTTACTGATAAATATACTATTTACTGATAAATACAGTGTTTAATGGCTGCCGGAGTCTGTGGATGGATCTTTGGATAAATATGATAGTTAATAGTAAATACGGTATTTTACCCGTGAATACAGTGTTAAACGGTCACCAGAGTCGCTGGTTGAATTTTCAGATAAATATGATATTTACTCATAAATACGGTATTTATTGATAAATACAATATTTACTAGTAAATACAGTGTTAAAATGGTAGCCAGAATCATTGCCTGAATTTTTAGATAAATATGATATTTACTAGTAAATATGATATTTACTGGTAAATTTAGTGTAAATGGTCACCAAAGTCAGTGGCTAAATTTTTAGGTAAATATGATATTTACTAGTAAATACGATATTTATTGGTAAATACGATATTTACTTGATAAGACAGCGTTAAACGGTCGCCAGAGTCGATTGTCAGCTTTTCGGGTAAATATGGTATTTACTAGTAAATAAGGTGTTTGTTAGTAAATACAGTGTTAAACGGTCGCTGAAAAACAATAACCAAAACACGGTCATTGGTCGTCGAAAAATGGTCTTCGGTCGCCGGAGCCGGCCGCCGGTCTCGGCCATGGTAGACTTGACTATAATTTACCTATATTTAAATAATATGCTATAATTTACTATTTTTTTTATAAAAAAAAATATATGTTTAAGGGGGAAGAGAAAGGTAGAAAAGGAGATTTAAGGGTATTTTTGAGATTTTAATAATGTTTAAAACTTAAAATATCAAATTATGCTATAATTTATAATTTTTTAAAAATATATTATAATTTACTAATCACTTTATCAATTATCTTTTTTCCTTCCTTATCTAAAAAAAAAAAAGAGAGAAATACTTACTCTCAAGAGTACATGATCTGAATTTTTACTTCTTTATTCTTAATTAATACCCTTATAATTAACATATTTCTTTAATTAAAGATAATTAATTAAGAGTAAAGTGAAAATCAAAGACCCTGTAAAAGTATTTATCTCATTTTCTCATATAAGTAACGCAACACAAATCATAAGCACAATAATTATCAATCGTAAGAATGAGGGATAAGTAAAATTAATAGCAGATGTTACGAAAATGTTTAGCAAACAACGAAAAAAGTTTAAATAAGATATTTTAACATACGTTACGTTACTGAAATTGCTTTCTTTGTATACTCAAAAGACTAGTTTGGGATTCATTCCTCTTTCTCTTCCATCTCTCATTCTCGCTCTCTCTCTCTTCTCCAACTCTCACTCTCAGTATCTCTCTCTCTTCATCGTTGCCGAAATCTATAACATCGACTCGATTGCGGAAATTGGCCAAGAAGGTTGTGCTTCATCATCATCACTGCCAAGCCAAGTGACAACAACGATCTCCGTCGACAGTTCGCAATCTCTCAAGTCGTATACTAACTAGTCTTCAACAACGACATGACAGTGATGCGTCTAGTCTTTAACAGCAATGAGCCATCGTTGCGATTGACAAGCTTCCCATGACGTCGCCAACGGCACATATGATTGGATGTGAAGAAGTTGTAGAGGCAACAGATAAATTTTAAAGATTTTATATAAAGAAATATATATATATATATTATATATATATTGACAAAAGTCCTGCTATTTACCTATGTAAGTTTCAAAATGTTGTTGTCAATATTCAATAAAAAATCATATGTATCGCAAATTCTTTGATTAGGAATTTTGTAAAAATTACACTAGTAAACAAATTTAGGAGAGCGTAGTTGAAATGTATATACATATACATTCATATATTTGAAATATTTTAAAAATTAAAAATATACTTTGTAATTATTACGATATTCATATTTTGCATCACAAGATTACTAATAACTTGAATTTAATATTTGTTATTGGTAAATTTCTTAATTTTTTACTATATTTAAGCATGAGTTGTAAAATGCTAAAATTCTACCATGTAAGACAGCACAAATCAAAATTATAATATATATATATATATATATATATATATGATCCTTTGGTTTTTTGTTGCTGAAAACAATAATTTTCTTCCTAAAAAAACAAAAATATTCAAGTAACTTTAAATAAGATTGGCATAAGTAAAATGGTTTGATATTACGGAAATTAGGTTATGGAATTTATTTTAATTTGTGGAGTTGGTGGGAATTAAGCTTTAAATTTATTTAAGTGCGTCTCATGGTAGCTCTAGTTCTAGCTGGTTCTTGATGGCGGCTGGTGAGTTTAACCACCTATAACTGTTTCCCAATGCCCTCTGTACAACGAACATTACCTATCCCTATTCATGTCTTTACACCATTCAAAAGAGAAGTGCACATATTGTCAATGACCTAATTCATAACGTCAAAAGAGAAGTTCAAATATGACTTCCTAATTCCTATGAAAGGATGGTCATTTTTTTTATAGAGATATTTACACTTGTACCTTGTATTTGATATGAATTATGAGTTTATCAAAATAGTATATTGTATTCTATTAAAAAAAAATAGTATACTCCTGACCGTTTAGTTTATAGATTAGAATCATGAGATTAGAACTATTTTTGATTTACGTGTATTTTTTATGAGAGAAAATACTATATCGAATCATGAACCATAATTCGAATAAGAGAACGAATCCTCCGACCAAACGAGCTCTTAGTACTTCACTCTATTAGTAGTCTCAACTTTTTATTATTAAATTTAATCAAAATCACATTATATTAAAAAAATATGTAAAACACATAAATTTTAATTCAAATTTAACAACCTAAAAATAAGAAATTATTAATAGTTTATTTTTAAAGTAGTCCCTAAACGTAAACTGTAGTTTAACTAGAAAAAAATTTAAAGTTGTCTCAAACTCTTTTTTTTAGTGCAAATATTTAGCTGAATTTATCAAAATAACCTCAGAAAAAAAGAAAAAAAGAAAAGAAAAAAAAAAAAACCTATCTTCTTCCCCATCTGCGAACCCCCTACCTCGGTACCTCCTCCTTCCTCCTCCACCGGACCACCTTCTTTACCCATATTCTCATAAGTCATAATAAAAAAAGTATAAATCCCATCAAAAGAGAACAATACAAGAAATAATAATAATAAAAAAATTAAAATCCTAAGTTACACATTGTCATTCCCTCGTCACCGTTGCATCTCCAGGCAGCTACCAAGGCCTATCTAAGCAAAACCTCCGCCGTCGCAGCGCTGTTCCACCGCAAGCCCAGGAAACGTCACGAGCTCCCTCCCCTCTTCGTGCTCCCTCTTAACGCCGTCGCTGGTCACGCCTTGATTCTTTCTTCTCCGGCGATCCTGCAGCAACAATTTCGGTAGGCCTCCAGCTCTTCAAAATTTTTTTTTTGATTTTTTTAGTGGACAGTTTTGTATTTGGTTCTTAATTCTTATAACACCAAAACTTAAAAAAAAAGTTTGTCTTTAATGCATTTGGAAAATCGTATGGAACTGCTGAATTCTTCTTCTAAGAATCAAGAGTTCAGGGTCATTTAATTTTTTTTTTTTTTAAGCAAAACCCCGAATCAAATCTTCACATACTTAAAATTGGGGACCAAATGGAACAATTTTTACACTTGTTTACAACCATTGCCTTTTTTTTTTCTTGAAAAAGTATGTGTTTCTTTTAATCTTTTTAATTGTGCAAAATTAATTTTTGCCAACTTTAATGTTTTGTCCACCATAGTAGTAGGAATTGTACCGGTTTGGAAGAGACACGAGGAGAGGTCAAACTTGGTAGGTTGCTCAACAATTGTAGGCAGCCAATAGCCATACCTATTCTTCTCATTATCCTTTGCTAGTGGGTGAGGAATGTTGATTAATTTTAATACAAGGCCAAACGAAAATCTAACTCAAAATTTCAACCATCTAAAAAAAACCCATATTTTGACTGAAGTTACAACTCTTGCAAGTATAAATACCGACTCAAACGCTTTCTCGTCTTTGACGCTCTCAGCCCAACAACACTTGATACACAGTAATAACAGTGTTTATTATAGCTTTGAAGCTTTCTCTTTCCTGAGCATAAGTTTGGACAATTACCCCCTTTTCGGGTAGGTTTTCTCCATTGAAATTGCTCCACAGATTTATATACATTTTCTTATATCAAACTATTTATAAGATTGTAGCCAAACTTTCCCGTTGGATTCAAAATCTATATTTCATTTTCCCTCTTAATTTAGCTCCTGATTTATGGTTTTTTAATTTATTTAAGGTCAGTTTGAGGTTTCTCACTTATTTATTTATTTTATTCTGTTTTGACCTTTCGTTTTGAAATCGATTAGTTATTCTTTTTTTTTATTATTTTATTTTTTCTGGAATTGCTTCCTGTTTTATAGTTTTTATTGTTTAATATGCGAAAATCTATGGTGAAGTTTGTGAAATTGTGTTGAGTTTCTGGCATATTTTTCGTGGGAAGTCTCAGATGGATTTGGGAAATAAATTGGAGGGTACTCGAGCCACCATAGAAACCGAAATCGAATCATTTTTCAGCTCGGCTCCTCCTTTAAACAACAGTCTTGACTTCAGTGAACAAGTAGATAAATTTATCAGAAGGAATTCGGTGGCGTCAGGTAAGCCCACATTTTGGTTAAACCAACAAACTATCTTTGAGTTCCTTTATGTTCTATTTGTTGGGTTTTGATCATTTTAACTTTTCCATACGTTATAAACAATAGGAAATGGAGGACCTAGCAGGGTTGTGTGCGTGACATCGGGTGGAACCACGGTTCCTCTAGAGCAGCGGTGTGTTCGGTACATCGATAATTTCAGCTCAGGCCATAGAGGAGCAGCATCCACAGAGTATGTGGCACCGACATTATCAAATAATAGTGTCTTTCTTGTTGTACTAGAAAGTTATTAATTTGAATTTCTTAATATTGCAGGTACTTTTTGAAGGCTGGATATGCAGTTATCTTTTTATATCGGAGGTAATTCCAATGTTTTTTCCCTCATAAATACACTTCAAGAGGTATAATATGGTATGGTGAAACATTTTGTGATCACATAATTTGGAGGCTTATGTGTGATTTTGTTCAGAGGAACCTGCCAGCCATATTGCAGTTCTCTTCCTGATGATCCCTTGCTAGAATGTTTCGAGTTAACTGATGAGCCAAATATTCAAGGTTTGTAGTTTGTGATGGCCACACATAAACTGTAGTTCGCACTTTCTTTTAGAGAAATGTTTCTTTGTGCCACTGAAGCGTGATAAAATTGACATGAAAAATTGATATGCAAAACTTACACGATGAATAATCTATTCCTTTTGATGGTTTGTACACTGAAAATGACTAAGCTAGTTTCCTCTTCAGTGCGGCAGGAACATTCTGAAGCAGTGAAGAGAGCCATTTCTGAGAACCATGCTGTATGGATGGACTATCTTTGCCTCTCCTTGAGTTATTTATTTAGTTATCCCATATTTCCAGTTTTGGCTTCCTTAGTCTATCATGTAATGACAGATGGCATAATATAACCTGATCCATCCATGCGGTTTTATTCTATTGCAGGCAGTAGTAGAAGGTCTCTTGTTGAAACTTCCCTTTACAACGATCTTTGAGTATCTTCAGGTAACCTGTGATCTGCTGGAAATTGTATTTAATTTTATGCTCGTGTTCTACCGGTTGCCCACCTACTCAACTACTCATTTTTCCCTTTATACGATTTGATCAAAATGTGCAATTTGATTTAGATGTCATCTACCGTTCATAATCACAAATATTCAGTGAGACATGTCATGAATGCTTTGATAGCTTCTATCACAAAGTCAAATTCCATAAACACGAACTGAAGATGTGGTGTTTTTAGATGCTAAAATATTGTTAATCAGTTGGAAAGAAATTTGTAATGAGCAGGTAACCCGTTCCCTGTGTCTTTGTTTCTATTGCATTCTATCTCATTGTATCACATTCTGCTCTGCAATATTGAGAATCACCATCAATACCTCGGCGTAGGTCCGGGATAATCCACAGTCTGGGGCTATTTACAACTATCCAATTAAGAATTCTCATATGTACTAGTACTAGCAAGTGCATCAAAGATGCAGTCATCGATTAGCTTGAGAGACCACAATTACCGCGAGCAAACATATTAATGACGAGGAATACATTTTTGCTATGCTACTAATACTTGTACTTGCTCCGGTATTATGCCCCTGCCTGGCTAAGGAAGAATTATGGGGCGTAAAACAAAAAAATATGCTGAAGGGGGCATACTATATTTAAAGCATACGCCATTAAAGTTAAAGAAATAAAGAGTAGGGCCATTCCATTTCGACAAAAGACCCACGCCCAAATTTTGTAGCTTTGGGTCCACAATCCCGATCATGATTTCCTACCCCCAAAGGGAAAGGTCCTTCCCTTTTTGGTTGGTTGTGAGCGAGGAGGGATTTGAACCCTCGACACCGTGGTTCTAGCCACGTGCTCTAATCCTCTGAGCTACAGGCCCCACCCCTTCTCCACTGAATCTGTTCCCGGGAGTACCCTAGAAAAAGGAACTTTTCCTCTCCCCGGTTAAGATGTGAAAGGCGCCTCTCTCTATATAAGAACGGTGCATTCAGAGGTGTGAAGTGGGAGAGAAGGGATATTGTTAGGCCTCTGGTGAGGAAAGTGTACGTGAGAAGGGCCAAGAAGGGAAAAGGGGAGGGCCTAGAACTAAATGAAGTGGGCCAGCCAAGGGACGTTGGAAGCCCACCTGGGGAACCGGGAATGGACGGTTAGTGCCTGAGGGATATTAGGGGAGTATGGGGGCAGAGGGAAGGGATCATGAATTCTGTGCATGTGTTGCTGCTTGGGAGTCTGGGGATTACTCGAAAATCCACCATTATCTTATTTTCCTGCATTCTGTTTTTCTTCTTTCTTCGTTAAATTCCAGGGCCTTCCATGTGCCTTGAGTTGTAATGATCAATTTCATGCAATAAAAATACATTTAGTTGGATCCAGGATTATCAATTTGTTGACAGATTCTTAGCTAAACTCCTAGGACCCTATCATTTGGTATCAGAGCTGACGATCCATGGCTCATACTTCGCCAGCGGTGAGTAACCCAGGTCGCGTCTCCAGCTTGGAAGGAAGCCTCGAGTCTATCAGAGAAACCATTCAGCTGATGGGGGTGATCGTGGACCACGTACCTCAGTTGCAGGAGGATGTCTTAGCCTTAGGAGCCCAGATTGGCGATGTTCAAGGGGCCCTCCACCGACTGGAGACCTTGATTAGTCACCGACTGGAGGCCCAACCACCAGTACCCCTGCGACGGGAGCAGGGACGAGACCGGGACCGATTGGGTCTGGCCGATTCGCCAGACAGGGGCCGCGGAAGGATGGATCATTGGGGAAGACGACTCGAACTTCTGATCTTCCAAGGGGAAGATCCGTATGGCTGGGTATTCCGGGCGGAGCGTTATTTCGCCATTAATGGCGTCGAGGAGGAGGAGAAGGTTCTAGCGGCCTCGGTATGCATGGAAGGCAGGGCTCTCGGCTGGTTTCAGTGGCTGGATTCACAAGACCCGTTCACCGACTGGCGAGATTTGAAGGCAGCGATTCTCCACCGATTCAGCCGCGCGAAGGACGGCGACCCGACAGAGCGGCTGATGGCGTTGCGGCAGGACAGCTCGGTGACGGAATTCCGCGACTGGTTTGAAGCTTTGGCTGCTTCCATGCGAGGTATTCCTGAACCAATCTTTAGGGGGGCTTTCCTTAATGGGCTTCGTGAGGATGTAAGGGCCGATGTTAAGTTATGTTAAAATATAAAAACTATTGTTGGCTCACCTCCTAACAGCTTAAGCTTTTGGGATGGATTGGTAAAACTAACATGGTATCAGAGCGGGAGGTCCTGAGTTCAAACTCTCGTAATTGCACTATTTATCTCCATTTAAAATCATCACGTGTTGGGTCTTTAATATATCTCGGGCTTAAATATTCACGTGTTGGGCTTTCTAATTAATTTACACACACAATTGCTCATTGTCCAGCCCACACGTGAGGGGGAGTGTTAAAATATAAAAATTATTGTTGGCCCACCTCCTAACAGCTTAAGCTTTTGGGATGGATTGGTAAAACTAACATTGTAGTTTTAGATAGATGGGAAAAACTCTTCTTATATTTCTCATTATAACCGGTAGAGTACATAGGTTATTTATAGAATAAACAAACGTAACCTAGATTCCATAATAATAGGAAAATCCTAACTACGCTAGACTTGAGATACTCAACCATATAAATCAGGTTGTTTATTCAAAAACTAAATAACTAAAAAACCTCCTAATATCTCGACACTCCCCCTCAAGTTGGCGCATATATGTTTATCATGCCCAACTTGCTAACAGGATCTTCAAAAACTGGTCTGAATAAGCCTTTAGTAAGAATATCTGCAAGTTGCTGGTTTGTTGGAACGAAGAGCATGCAGATTATTCCTTTTTCAAGCTTCTCTCGGATGAAATGCCTGTCAACCTCGATGTGCTTGGTTCGGTCATGTTGAACTGGGTTATTGGCGATGGAAATGGCAGCTTTGTTGTCGCAATACAGTTTCATTGGCTTGTCTATCGGTTGTTTTAACTCCTCCATGAGACGCTTCAGCCATAGTAGCTCACACGCACCATGAGCCATTGCTCTGTATTTAGATTTCGCACTACTACGAGAAACTACATTTTGCTTTTTGCTACGCCAGGTTACGAGGTTTCCCCAGACAAAGGTACAATATCCTGAGGTGGATCTTCGATCAGAGATAGCTCCTTCATAATCAACATCAGTGTATGCCTCCACCGTACGTTGTCCAGTTTTGGTGAAGAATAATCCTTTCGCTGGACAGCCCTTTAGATATCTAATGATCCTGAAAACCGCCTCTAGATGTTCCTCACATGGTGAGTGCATAAACTGACTTACAAGGCTTACAGCGAAGGCTATGTCCGGCCGTTTGTGGGACAAGTATATTAACTTTCCTACCAGTTTCTGGTATCGAGCTGTGTCCACAGGTATTCTATCTTCAATGTTGCCTAGCTTTTGATTAGGATCAATGGGCTTTTCTGCTGGTTTACATCCACTCATCCCTATTTCTCTTAACAAGTCTAGCACATACTTCCTTTGAGACACAACAATTCCCTTATTTGAGCGGGCAACCTCCATTCCAAGGAAGTATTTTAGTCCTCCAAGGTCTTTTATTTCAAACTCAGTTGCTAAGGTTTCTTTCAACCTCCTCATTTCCGCCGCATCATCACCAGTGAGAATTATGTCATCTACATAGACAACAAGAACCGTGATCTTACCCTCCATTGAATGCTTTACAAACATTGTATGGTCACTATGTCCTTGCACATAGTTTTGCTTCTTCATTGAGCCTGCAAATTTATCAAACTAGGCCCTTGGTGATTGCTTGAGGCCATATAGTGACTTCTTCAACTTGCAAACTTTGGTTCCAAACTTCCCTTCAAAACCTGGAGGTGCTTCCATATAGACCACTTCCTCTAGATCTCCGTTTAAGAAGGCATTTTTTACATCTAGCTGTTGCAGAGGCCAGTCAAGGTTAGCAGCTAAGGATAATACTACTCTTATTGTGTTCGCCACAGGTGCAAACGTCTCCAAGTAGTCTATGCCATAAGTTTGCGTGTATCCTTTCGCCACCAGCCTTGCTTTGTATCGTTCGAGAGAGCCATCTGAGTTGTACTTGGTGGTGAATACCCATTTGCAGCCCATAGTGGTTTTCCCCTTTGGCAGTGCAACTTCTTCCCACGTTTGATTCTTCTCTAGTGTCCTCATCTCTTCAAAAACAGCTTCCCTCCACTCTGGAACTTGTAAAGCACCCTGTATATTTTTTGGAATCTCCACAGAAGACAGATGAGAAGTGAAGGCAAAGAAAGATGGTGACAAGTGCTTATAGGAGATGAAGTTAGATAAAGAATGTTGGGTGCAACTTCTAATGCCTTTTCTAATTGCAATAGGCATATCCAGATTATTCCTAGAATCGGAATCAGGAGATATGTGATCACTCACTTTTGTCAATTAAAGAATTCCCTGGATCAGTTTGTGAGTTCATTACCTTCCTTAGTTCCAACTCATGGCTGTGTGGATTAGTGACATCAACTTTATTTCTTTTTTCCGTCTGCCTTCTTGAATAAACCTGTATTTCAGCACCTGTTTTTGACCTTTCTTCGGTTCTGCTCATTTCTTGAATCTCAGGACTAGGGGCGTGGGGTTCCTCTCGGAATCTGTGGGACTTTCAATGGGAATAGGAAGGACAACAGGTTTTTCCTTTGGTTTTTCCTCTTGCCTCAAATTTCTAGGTTCATTGGTTTCAAGCCTAATGAGATCCTCATAATGGTTTACCTTTCCCGAATCTTCATGTCTAATCTCCCCTTGAAGATGAGCTCCAAAATATGGTGTATTTTCAAAAAAAGTGACATCAAGACTTACAAACATTTTCTTGGTGACCGGATCAAAACACTTATACCCTTTTTGGGTTGGAGCATAACCTAAAAATACACACTTCCTTGCCCTAGGATCGAATTTCCCTCTATTTCTATCATGAATGTGAACAAAAGCCGTGCAGCCAAATATTTTTAGAGGTAAGGTGGCAGAGAT